GAGAGAGAGAGAGAGAGAGAGAGAGAGAGAGAGAGAGGGCATGTCCGTGCCTCTTGATCTGCTCTCTGCGGCTGCCGCTTTAGCAGGTTCTGCTGGTATCGAGCGTCCGCCTCTGGCACTCTGGGTCCTTCCCCCCCTCTGGGGGCCTCTGTCCATCTCCCCCCCTCCGAGGCAGGCGTACCTGCTTGGCCAGATAGCCTTGTTTCACCACTGTGCCACTTAACTCCACAGTGCTGAGACTAATGTCTTCCTTGGAGCTTATCTTCTTCTTGTAGCTCTCAGCCTAGCGGGAAGGAAAGAACGAGGATTCTGTTACCAAAAAAGTCCCCGTTCCAGGCTCTGGGGGCTACCACAGGGGAAAGGAAAATCCTCGATACAGAAACCTCACTCCACCTGGGGGGAAAGAGGTCCCCCAACCCTAGGCCTCTCGCCCATGACTGTGCACCCCCAGCCCTCACTCTGTTACCTCCTCCTTCCTCTGCCCCAGTGGCAAGAGGAACTCCCTCCCTAACTTACAAAGGTGTACAGGGCCGTGGAGTCATCCAGGAACTGCTCGGCCAGGTCTCCAGAGCGAATGGCTCCCATGCTTCGGACACCTACCGGCCTCAGGAAGTTCTCCTCCATGAGCATGGAGGCCAGGGTCACGGCCTCCAGACGGTTGGCAGAAAAGCTGTTGGAGATGAGCCAGTCCACCAGGGAGGAGCCTGCATTGGGGCAAGGGCGGCACCAGTCAGACGACAAGCTACAGACTAGCCTCCCTGGGGGTATTTGGCTGTGACCTCATTGACCTTAACCTTCTGGGCAGCCTTGGGCTCTACCCAAGAGCAGACCCAGGGCCACACCCACACGTGGCCATCTCAGACCAGCCCGATGGCCGTAGGCCGCTCTACCCTCAACACAGGAGGGCAAGCATGGCCGAGTCATGGGTCACTGTGGTCCAGTTTCCACCGCCTGCCCCAGCCCCCAAGAGGGGAGGCTCACCTATGAAGGTCTTTTTGTAGGTGCTTCCCTGCTCCATGTTGGGGCTTGGCCGGATTCCACTGCTGCTGTCGTGCATCTTGTCCACGATGCGACTACAGGAAGGCAAAGGAGAGGGGACCCTCATCGCAGCAACACCATGAGGGAGGGGTCAAGGGTATAAAGCAAGGGCAACCGGTGTGATACACGTCACAAAGGTGGGGGGGTATTCCGTGATGCATTGGAACTGGAGAGGTAGGATTTTCAGATGTTTCATTTCTTCTGCTTGTCTAAAGGCTCTAATGGTCCTATATGAGACAGGTATTACTTTTGTAGCAAAATTAAACAGCTGTGACTTTTAATTTTAGAGCAAAAGAACATACAATAATGATTCTCTATGATCTACATAAAATGTGACCTCCAGCTACTTCTCAGAGTCACCTGTCACTTGAGCCCACTCCTTCCCACCTGCTACCGCCCCCGCCCCG